AAAAAAGTCCAGGAATAAGTTCATCCGAAATAAAAAAGTGCATTACAACATAGTAAAAAAGTCTAGGGCTACACGACAGGCTCGTGAATGACAAATACCTCTCGAAAGTGCAACGAGGCCACTTTCCCTTCCTCTCGGCATCGGAATTCTCCTCCATCGCTGCTTCATGCACAAGACACGCCAAGCTTCTTCTCCCCTCTCATCAGACGCAAAGAACACGCCTCCTTTCCTCCTCTTCCTTATGCTCCTTTTCTATAGCCTCCGATCTGCGTCTCTGCTCAAACCTCTCCTTAACCTCCGCATCCCACTCCTTCAGCCTTCTAGACGCCGCTTGTCCGACTCCTTGATCTCGGTGTCAATCCATTGCTCAAAGTCACACAGTGGTGGAACGGTCTGCAAGAAAACAAATTGTTACAAAACAAATAAATAAGCAATACTTAATATCACAAGAAAATTAATTAACACAATAAAATTCCTCACAAACGATGCGTATGTATTTGTTGCTTTGTAGGTTCCCATGCATAATTGGGACACATCCAAGACCTCTGTCTATATGTTTCCTCATCTTCAGAGATGTCTACCTTGCAAGGATCACCACAAAAGCACATTGGTCGAGGAACACCTTCAGGGAGAGGCTTTAGGTCGTAGGGATTTGTTCTCTGGCGACCATAGCTACAATTGAAAGAATTTAGTCATATTAACGGAGAACCAAACATAAACCTAGGATTTTCTATTTGTTGCACAGATAATGAATAAACATTGGGATTACCTTGGAATACGAGCTTTACCACGCCTTGGCATCCTAACATTACGTAGAAAAAAAATCAATCCAAAGTACCTTGCAACGAATGTAAAGGTACTAACACTACATCACCATACCTCCCAAATAAGCTTTTCATTACAAACCCTAAACAAATTTGAATCCCAACAAACACAAAATTTAACTCAATGATTATAAACCATAACATATACAACAACAACAACACCAACAACCATACATTTGGGTCATTCAATCATTTGAACCACCATACATTGCACGAATGACATGAACATGAACCAAACCTATAATGCCAAGTTCAAAAACAAACGAATCTAAATGAATGAATTGAAAGAGGGGAAAGAGGAGTACCTTGGCAAAACGCCTTGATCATAACAAATTGAAATGTAATGACCAACAAATAAATAAAATACATAGTAACCCTAATGACCAACAAATAACTAACCCTAATGACACCTACAATAAACAAATAACCCTAATGACCAAAATAACTAGAAACCAAACTAACCTAACATGTTCATCACATAAAACAGTTAAACAACAATGCACTCAATGATCCTAAGCCATACATTTTGCAAATGCAAACACAAATATACCAAATCACCAAACAACCATGATTCCAAATGATTAGGGACAATTTAAGCACATCTACGCGGATAGAATGGAGGAGGGGGAGGGACCATTACCTCGAGGAAGCTTCGGGAGGACAAGATCCGGGCACCGGGGGTCGATTTTGGAGGTTAGAGTTTCGTGGGGGCCGTGGGGGATTTGGGAGCCGTGGGGGAATGGAGGAGGGGAGGGAACAAGAAGAAGGGACCTCGGCGCGGCCTAAAGGGTCCAGACCTCGGCGTTGAGTCGGGTCACGCCGAGGTCTGGAGGCTCGGCGTTAAGTGACCCAACGCCGAGCTGCTGGGCCACCGTGCTTTGTTGGGCCACCTGGGCCGCGCTCCGGATGGGGCCAGAGCTCGGCGCTCGGTCTGAACGCGCCGAGGTTGGGTACTTGGCGACGGCTGACACGACGCCGACGTCTCGGACCCACGCGCCAACGTGTCGACGACGACCCCGGTCTTCCGTGACGTGGCAGTACCTCGGCGTCGAGTGACACGACGCCGAGCCTCATATCTCGGCGTCATGTGCTAAGACGTCTAAAAATGGTCTATTTTCAGAAAATGTTTTGGCGTTGGTATTTTTCTAAAAATTGTTTTCAAAAAAGACCAAAATACGAAAATTTCACACAGGGAGGTCTCAGAAAGGTGCTACTAAAGAAACATAAAGCACTAGCTGAACTTTCTGAAAGTACTCTAAAGCAACACGAGACAACTCATGAATGAAAATATGCATGCACGACCTATCGGTCCTCACAACCTACAACTAACGGACTCAATCGATGGCACTTTATGTACTCTCCCTATAGCTAGTCATAACTTGGCTTTCTATGCGTTCGGGTTAGTGTACCTGCAAAAGAAATCATCACAGCCCTTCCCATAGTTAGAGTTAGTTACATACAGGCCACCGTACCTGATAACCTATAACATAACTATAGGACTACTTTATATACTCAGATGTAACGTCCTACATTTTTTGCAAAATTTTTGTTGCAAATTTTTACTTGTGAAAAAGCATTTCGAACTTCCCCACACATTTACGGCTTCGATACCAGCTATGGCAGAACCGCCAATTTAAACTAATCAAATACTTACTCGCTCACCACTGAGCACTAAGTAAGCAATGATTAATTTAAATCCGATCGTCTGTCGAGTCCACCATCCAAGAGAACTCGAAATCATCCACGTTTGATACAGGATCCATAAATGAGTAGCGAAGTATATAAATAATATTACAAGCTTTCAGTTCACATATAATACATGATCCAAATACATTATAATACTAGTTTTCAAAATAGCAGCGGAATTTAATACATAGGGATTACGATACCCGAGGTTACTTTTTACATTATTGAAAGCTTAGACTGACACTATGAATTTAACTACGATAGAAGTCGAAGCCAAAGTCCTCACTGTGCCCACCTGGGAGGACTCAACCAAGCAGTAGCGGAAGCAACACACGAGTTACGCTCTTCCAAGGAAGAATCTGCAAACGGACGAACACCCAATTATACCTCAAGGTTAACATCTGCAACAAAAAGGGTAGAACAAACCCTGAGTACGTGATGTACTCAGCATGACTTACCCGTCTAGATGGGAATAATTTCCCGACTCTCAAGAGTATGTAGGGGGCTATTTGGTTTGCTGGCTCATTTACTTTTGCAGGAAAGCATTACTAGGAGTACATCCTTATTTTCCAAGTTTTAGTGTTCACATTAAGTTCATTATCTAGCCAATCTAGATAGGCACCTATAGTACTTTCAAGCATGTGGTGAGCAATCAGAATATTTTAACTCCATAATCTCAGCACCACCACATGTTACAATTATTACTATGATAGCACTGATACGACAAGTGGTATCCATGTCCGAGGAGAGCGGAGATTGCAATCGATGTACATCCAGCTGAGCAATCCCAAACACACGCTTGTACTTCTCAAAGGGGCAAGTACAAGGCAACCGTTCCGGTCATACGACCAAGGCCCAAAATGACCTGACCACCCCAGTGGAACCCACCCTATGAGGCCCACGCCGCGAACTGGCGACGGGTTTCCCCCTCATAATTTTATTCCATGAACATTCCCCTCCCAAAAACAACCGTTAGAATGGCTAGAGGAACACTTCAGTGAATGTTTTGTGCACCTTAGTCGTAAGAGAGTACTAAGCTTCACGGTCAACTGTAACTCAGGGCCCTGTTATGTGTTTGGTACCTTCAAACTTGTCAGTAACGAACGGTCCTTAATCGACACGGGCAAGACTAAGAATAAGCACCTAGGACGTCCATGCCCTGTTGCCATCCAAACACCACTTCCCGCCCAGTCTCCAGTTGTTATCCAGCTCACAAGTATGATATAAGGAGCAGTAACAAGCCTATCGTACATGACGACAGGTCACACACGTACTACCGAAGTTCCTAAGCAAGGCAGCTACTCGGACCTATTGTACTAGTATGACTCAAGGTTAATATATATATATGTAAATGTCTTTCAACCAAGTCTATAACCTAATGCATACATCGCATAATAACAAGTATGTTGAAATATAGGGGTTATGCACTAAGGCTTGCCTTAGTTCTAGAACGGGTCAGCAAAAAGTCAGCAGGGGCTTCAAGAACACCGTCAACGAGGACCTCCTCCTTGTACTCCTCGATAACCTCCTCGTACTCCGGCTCCACGTCCGGCATGTTGTCAGTTGCTGCGTCACCTATATGCAACAAAGAATGCAAGGGCTATTTAATACACCTACAGGTATCACACAACCTAATATTAAAACTGACATCTAAGGATAGAGAACGATTTTAGAAACTCAACAAAACTTGTTTGGCATTTTTCTGATTTTTCTATGATTTTTGGTGAATTTTTGAAGTTCTAACAAAAAAAAGAGTAAAATACATCCATGGTCCTTAAATTATTACCGTCTTCCCGTCTAGGTCCTCAAACTAAAAAAGCGACTATTTGGGTCCCTGAACTATTGTCGTCATACATCAATGGTCCAAGACCTGCCACGTCCGCACACAGCATCCAAAGTGGCGGTGCTACAGTGGCAGCTCGACGACGTGGCCATGCTATCTTCTAAAAAAACCTGCCTCCTCATCCGTCTATTGCTCCCTCGTCCGCATGGCATGGCGCCTTGCCCCTCGCCCGCCTAGCGGCGGCACTTGCTCGTGCGCCCACCTGGCGGCTGCGGCATCTAGCCCGTGCTCGCTTGCCCACGCACAATCATGGAGATTGCTGCCGGCAGCACGGAGGTGGCAGCTGCGGGGACACGGCGGCGGGCAGAGCGCCGCTGCCCGGGCACGCACGCCCCACGGCGTCCACGGCAAATCGCGAGCTCGAGCCCGGCGGTGGCACATCGTGAGCTCGCGCCCAGCGACCATGGCGAACGTGCCCGCGATGAGAGCCATCCGCGAACGTTACCTGCCCATCCTCACACAAGCACTCGATCTGTGAAATGCAAAGCAAAGATCGATCACATTAGTCAGGTCAGGTGACACCAGGATGCTAGCTGGATCAGGTGCAGGTTGTGGTTCCTGGACAGAGCTTTCCTCATGTCGGAGACAACAGTGGCGTCGTCCATGAACTTGACGCTGATATGCACCTCTTTCGCCACCTCGCGGAGCTACAGCGTGATCTCCTTGTCACTCTCTCCGAGGCCGACGACGCTGAAGGAGTCCGGGACGCGGTACGAGTGGGAATGCAGCTGCCTCCTCGTCCACTTGTCCATACCGCTGATGGTTGGGAGTCTTGGCTGGGCGTACTGGCCGGAGGCCACGACGACAAGGTCGAACACCTCTTCCGCGATGACCACCTTGCCGTCACAGTCGATCACCATGTCTCGACGAGCACCTCACCATCTAGCGCATCATGCCATCGTCAGCTATGCGCCGCGCGCGCCAGGCCGACGTGCAGGACCTTGGTGTTGAGCCTGACGACGTTGTTCATGAGCCCGAACGCATCACAGAAGTCCCTGATGTACCTGAGGTACTCGCCGTGACCCGGGTACCGGCGGCGGCGGGCGTTTCAACCAAGGCGGAGCCAATGGCTACTAACCAGGCATACCCGGTCACTCCTTGTTTCTCCAGGAAGAATCGGAACATGAAGTCCCGATGCGAGTAGTTACCTGGGAACCTGCCCTTGCGCTCCTTGCTCAACGTCAGGATGGAGTCGGAACTCGGAAGTCGGAGAAGCCCATATGCTATCCCTAGGCACGTTGAGGCGAGAGCGCCTTGTGTGTGCACGCGGCGGCAGCGCCGACACCAAGAGGATCGCCTGGCGTCGGTCTCTCGAGTTGTATAGCCAATGCCGCCGCTGCGCGCTCGCTCCATGACCGTGGCCCTCATGCGGGCGGATACCAACCGGAGACACCGGCGCCGACCACGCTTCCATGGTTGCGGCCTGCAAGGGCGGCAGCTTTCGTGGCCCGCTTGACGACGCCGCCCGGACGGAGAGGAGGGACTTGGGAGTGAGTAAGAGTACGTGGCGTGGTTTGTTTTAGAAGGTAGTATGGCCACGTCATCCATTGTCACTCGCAGCGCGCCACGTTAGATGTTAGTGTTGACATGGCAGGTTTTAGACCATTGGTGCACGGTGACAATAGTTCAGGGACCCAGATAGTCGCTTTTTTAGTTTGAGGACCCAGATGGGAAAACCCAAAAAGTTTAAGGACTCTAGGTGCATTTTACTCAAAAAAAAGGGAAACTAAACTCTCTCCCACCATGCCAGGCCGGCTGGCCACACAGGCCCACCTTGGTGGCGCCATGGCCTATCTGTGCATGTGTGACCACCGTGGACAAGGCCTAGGCGGGCGTGCGGCTGTGGTGGCCAGCAAGCAGCCAGCATGCATGCACCTAGGCGGGCGAGGGCGCGGCGGTGGCTCAAGCCTAGGTGGAGGCCCATGGCGGCGGCAGGACCCTAGCCCTACCCACACACAAAGTGTAGTAAAGCCCCTGAGCTTGCGATTAATTAAAACTCACCGATCTACTGTTCATATGAGTCACAGGCTTTTACAAAAAGGGCCCCCTATTTCTTCCTATTCTAAAATCGGGGTCCACAACTCGCCCAAAAAAAGACAGAGCAACCGGCCACGGCACTCCCAGCCGGCCACGGGATGACTGGCACCAGAGGGAGGCGTGGCAGCCTCGAGCGGCTGAGGCGAGTCCGCGATGCGACCCAGCCCGTGACGGGGCAGGGCGCGGCGGCTGAGGTCGCGACAGCGGCTGGCGACGCAGCGGGGCCAAGAAAAGCGAGGAGGGGACACGGATGCTTACCCAACGGCATGAGCAAGGAGCGAACGAACCTGGAGGGAGGTTTTGCGGGAGATTTTGAGAGGGAGAGAGAAAAACGGTCGGTAGCCTTGGTTTTTATACGAACAGCGAGGACGGCGCCTTGACCAACGGTCCGAAAGGAGCGCCTCCTCCTCCACTGCAGCCACAGCGCCTGCATAGCTTCGCCACAGCGGCCGGCATGGCCGGGCTGTCTCTGCTTGCGGTGATGGCAGCGGTAGAGGCATGGCGAGCAGCTACGAGCGTACGTGCGTGACATGCAGGAACACGGCTGCCACCCTATCAGGCGCTGAGGTCACGCAGACGCGAAGGCTTGACCAGCTGCGACCCAGGTTGCGGCATGGGTGGCCTACTGGTGCGGCCTCTGACGGCACGGGCGTGCCAAGGCTCGAGCGGAGCTTTGGCTGAGAGCAGACGTCCGGTCCTTTTTTTTATCCTTTTTTTACATAAGCTGGTTTTGATTTTTTTACACATAAAGGGGAGGCGCCAACCACCCTCTCGCTGTCTCTTCTTCTTCTCTCTTTTTTTCTCTTTCCCCAAATTAACATTATTAGCACACATAAAACCAGCTCCACCTCGATCCACGGCTTAAGATAATTTTATCAAGTAACACTGTGGTTTTACATGGAGAGTCACCCGTGATGGTATGAAACCCCTAATGAATCCTGGAAAACCCACGACGAGTGATGAAAAAGAAATTCATCTAAATCTAGAGAAAAATTGCTTGTTTGAATCTTTGAGCATGGAAATATTTAACTAAGTGTTCGTCCTAACTAAAGCAAATGAAATTTGGTTAAAATTGCATATGCTCCATAACGGTACAAATAATGTCTATGAGCAAAAATATTGCCTAGCTAAGAAAACTATGATTCTTTCAAAATGAATGAAAATGAGCTTGTTAGAGATATGTATTCATGTTTGAATATAATTATCAATTAGGATTGACCAAGCTAGATGATGCGGACATTGTGAGGAAGATCATCTTAGTGCTACCACATAATAAATATGCAAGCATCATCATCATCCTTCATAATATGGAGGACTTAAGCAAAATGACTCCAACACTTGTCATTGGCAAGTTAGTGGCATTTGAGATGTCACAGAATATGGGTTAAGAAGAAGTCTCTTCATCAAGCTATAACATAGCTCTCACATGTGATGAGCACAAGAAGATGAAGGGCAAGAAGCAAGAATCAAGCTCAAGCTCAAGCTCCTCAAGTGAAGATAAAGATGAGGATGGGGATGATGAATAAGAAAGTGGATCAAGCCTCCACCTCCTCCTCTGATGTTGATGATGAAGAAACAATCAAGTTAATTGAGAAGGTGGTGAAAAATATTCACAAGTTAAATATACAGGGTGTGCCCATTCAAATTGAAGATAGCTTATTCACCAACCAAAGAAGAGAGCAAAGAAAGAAATGATGCTTTGGTTGTGGCAAAAGGGGAAATTTGTGGAACATTGTCCAACTGACAAGCCCACACCCAGAGACAAGAAGAAGAAGGCATGCAAGGTCAAATCCCTCATAACAATCAAGACTTGGGATGATTTATCAAGTGAAGATGAATCCCAACACAAGAGATGCGCCCGCAAGCACTCATCATTAAGCTCCTCTCACGTGTTCCATATGGCACGAGGTAACATTGAAAGCTTAAGCTCTAATGAGAGTGATAGTGATGATGATGAAAAACGTTCTGAAGAACTTGCTTAATCCGTCCAATTCTTTAATTAAGTTTGCACTAAGCAAAAAGCTCAACTAAGTGAACTCAAAACTAAGTATGCAAACTTAAAATCAAAGACCAAGAATTGTGACAACACTACTAAAAAGGTCTTAAATGGCTAGAGGGGGTGAATAGCCTAATTTAAAAATTCTACCAAGCACTAGAGCAAATGGTTAGACAATTAAACGACGATAAGCAATTTTGCTCTAACTCTACTAAATAGGCAAGCCACCTACCAAATATGCTAGTTGCTACAATCTCTGTCACACAAGCTAACTAGCTATGTTGCAACTACTTTTACCACTAGAGAACAAGCAAGAAAACTAATTACAACTAATTACACTAAGCTACTCAACTGGCAAGGCTACTAACTAGCTCTACACAAGATATGAACAAGTAATGTAAAGAGCAAGTGTTGGAGTGATATACCGAGCTGGCAAGAGACAAATCAATTACAATATGAACAAGATGACACAATGATTTATCCCATAGGTTTAATTGCTTGCCAACAACCTACATCCTTGTTGTGGCGAGACACTCACTAGGTGGCTCACATGCTAATAGGCATCACACGCCTAGCCCAACACAAGGGTGCCATAAGAACCACATGAGTGAGGCTACACAAGCCATGAGCAATCCACTAGAGTTGTCTTTCATGATTCCCCCGCAAGGAAGGCACAAGAACCCCTTACAATGACCATGATTAGAGCCGGCAACAATCACCAATAACCTCTCAACGATCCCACAAACTCTAGGTTGGCTAGGTGTCGGCAAACACCAAGAGTAACAAGAAATCCACCAGCCCAATGCGCTCTTCTAGTGCCATAAGATGCTAAATCACTAAGCAATGCACTAGAGGAGCTCCAAACTCACTCAAACGATGAAATCAAGTGTCAAAGTGAGTGGAGTGTGTGTATCTCAGCTCTCAAAGGATTTGCACAAGTGTATGGGGTGCCAAGAGAGTGGCCAAGGCCAGCCACACTATCTATTTATAGCCCCAACTCCAAATAGAGTTGTCACCCTCTTGGAGCAATTTTCTGTGTGGTCACCGGACAGGGCGGTGGCACACTGGATAAACTATCCGGTGACCCTAACGGTTGAATTCCAAGGCTAGTTTTAACTAGTCGTTGGCACCCAGAGGCACTAGACAGCATGTCCGGTGGCCCTAGGCATCGATTTCACATTTTCCCTACTCTTTGCAAATTTAGGGCAGTGCACCGAACAACCTGTTTGGTGACCTCATTTCACAAAGTCCCAAAATCGCTAGTCATTGGAAAAAAAATTAGCGGTACGCGCAGCGGTGCACCGGATGGGGTGTCTGGTGCCCTGTCCCTCACTTGGTCGCAAGCTCGATTGTTTGGTTGGCTGTTCGGACCCACCGGACAGCTACCTGGTGCCACCCAGGTGGCGACATTGACATCCCAAACAAGCCCTTGCTAGCGTTGCTAACTCTCAAATGTTTTCACAAACATATTTAGAGCCAAGTTAGCATTTCCAAAATATTTTTCATAAACATTTTTGCTTGCTCACTGATGTGCACTAGGCCTATATGCAATACATAGTTTTCCAACACCTAGTGGCACTAGATGACTGAATTGTCTAATAGAGCTCCCCTCTTAATAGTACGACCATCTATTTATACCTTTGCCTTGATCTCCACAGGGTTTTGTTTTTCTGTTTCTTCTTTTCCAAGTTGGAGCACTTGATCACCATCTTTTGGCCATCTCCATCACATGAGTGCTATCTAGCTCCATCACTTGAACTTGGACCAATCTATCTCATAATCACACTTAGACATAGGGTTAGTTCAATAGGTTTCATCAATTATCAA